ATATATATATATTTAAATATCATATATGTATGCATTTTCTTTTTCCTAGGCTGCGGTTATCATCTGGGACTATGCACAGCGGACAATCTATGCCCAGCTGCTGGACCACAAGGTAAAGGTAGAAGCACTGGCCTTCTCTCCCAACGAGAAGTACCTGGTGTCCCTCGGAGGTCAGGACGATAGCAGGTAAACATCAAGTTTGGGTGATTGCCGTCCAGAGTGAGCTGTGCTCCCTCCCAAATAACCAGGTTGCTTCACACAGGAATGAGGAATAGAGGCACGCGGCCAGCCGAAAAAGCAGGATAGTAGTTTCCAAAAGTAGTGAAACGCTCTGCAACCTGATCATAACAACAAGATTTCAATGGCAATGTCTTTATGAGAGTAAACACAATCCAATTATTATTAGTTCAAATGTATTTATTTAGTGTTTTCTGTGTGTCCTCAGGATAGTGGTATGGAATATTGAGACCAAGCAGTCCATCTGTGGGAGCCTGGCTTCACCGCGCAGCGCCGGTAACTGCCTCACTGTGCAGTTCTCAAACACAGACGACAATGTCTTTGTTTCTGCCGGGAGGTGAGTGAGTGCAGTCTGCTGGCATTCTGTCAACCAACCAGTAACATTCTTGTTATTCTTTATTCTGTATGTTACTATCCTTGGTGGTGGTGGTGTTGTTGTTTTTTTGGTCAGCGGAACCTTGCGAGTCTGGGAGCTGGACCTCCCCAACAGGAAGATCAGGCCCATGGAGTGTCAGACAGGCAAGCTGAAGAGGACTGTGAAATGTATACAGGTACGAGGTCGTGAGAGTCTTCAGTTCACATCGGTTTGTTCCCCCCAGCTTATTTAACTAGCCCGCCATTTAGCTTTGCAAAATGTCTGTTGCCGAAACTCACTAAATGATTGGTGGAGTTGCAGTAGATGCATCTGGGGAGATAACTAACGATCTATAAACATGGCGAGCAATTCAATGTAATATTATTCTGTGATTTTTTTTGTTTTGGTCATATTGACGTGTTTGTAATATTACCCCAGATCTCAGAGGACGATCAGTTCATTTTCTGTGGCACCACCAGTGGAGACATAATGAAAATCAACCGGAAGACGGGGCTTCTGAGTGACTCTGGTCCAGCTAAAGACAAATACAGCATGGTAGGTCGGCGAGTCCAACTAAAACGTGCCAGGTCTCCATATATATTTTTATATATAGTTCAGCTAGTGTCAAGGAAACTAGGAATTTGACTATATCTTAAATCTCAGTGCTCGTGGCTTCTCTGCGCAGGGTGTCAATGTCCTAAGGATTCTGAAGCATGGGGACCTGCTCGTGGGCTCTGGATCCGGCACCTTGACTCTCTGTTCCAGGACTAACTTCAAAACTCTTAAGTGAGTCCAACAACTCTGTCATTTGAATCATCCCCATTTAAGAGATACTTACATTTGTTCATGGTGTCTATATCTTGTACATTAGAATAACTATCTACGGTACCTCTGAGTTTATTTTACAGTGCTCATTATCAGGTCCTTCTCCCCCCCCCCCCCCCTCTCTCTTCTCCCACATTAGGAAAGTCCAGCTGGAGAAGGGTGTGACCTCCATCGCTATGAGAGGAGAGGGCCAGCAGTTCTTCGTTGGGACGGAAGCGGCTCAGATGTACCGCTGCGGCTATGACGACCTCAAAGAGGAACTCATTTCCACCAGCCACAACAGCGCTATCAAGGACGTCGTCATAGTTTAGTGAGTGGCACATTAGACAATTTCAGGGAGGAAGTAAAATCGGCAAAAAAGCCTTTTTACAGCTTTTGAAATTGGCTGTGTCTCTTTTGGGCAAAAGGGCTTAAACCCCATTACTGTAATCTCTCACAATGCATGACTTCAGTACCGCTTTGTGCTCACCAGAGGGCGACATAGGCTTGCCTCATCCATGTCAGTTTACAGATTACACAGTTTAGGGTTTTAGTAGCATTGTATACCGATATATTGTATGGATACTGGGTTAATACCACGATACCATATGCCTTTAACTCAATAAGCAGCCGTTCTCTCTTTATTTGTGTGTTATTTTTTTAGTGGAACATCTGAATTGTTTGCAACCTGCTCCGAGGAGGACATCAGGTTGTGGCACATAAACATGTCCAAAGAGCTGCTGCGGATCACCGTGCCCAACATGACCTGCAACTCCCTGGACATCATGGTTGACGGACACAGCATCATCAGTGGTGGGAACCCGGGAGAGAAATATCTGCAAACAAGTCACCACAAAGAATGACTGATGATGACTGACTGTTTTTTTTACTCTCTTCCAGCATGGAACGATGGCAAGATCCGCGTGTTTGGGCCGGAAAGTGGCTTACTCATGCACATCATTCATGATGCGCACAGGATGGGCGTGAAAGCCATCGCTGGCACCAGGGACAGCAAGAGGATCGTCAGCGGAGGGGGAGACGGACAGGTCAGTAGGCATCGTTCACAAAACAGATCGCAATGTTCCGCGTTCTCACCGAATGGAAACGCACTGAAATTCGTTTTTTCTTTGAAAATGTGAAGCTGTGAATTATTGAATTGAAGTTAAAATGCTCTCACGGACAAATGGTCACATGAATCCATTATGTATCCATAGTTGGCATTGAAACAAAGTGGAAAGAGTCTTTTAAATGAAGTGCCATATCTGACGACTGGTAAATGAGTCGGGGCTCACCTTTTGTAGGTCTGTGTTTGGGAGCTGCAGCCGCACGGCCATCGGCTGCTGGAGGCCATGAAGAAGCACAGAGCCGGAATCACTTGTATCAAGATCAAGAGTGACAGCAAAGAGTGTGTCACTGCCAGCGCTGATGGTACCTGGATCATCTGGGACATAGTGTGAGTAGCCCCTCTGTGTCCCCACACACACACACACACACACACATTTCACATGTACATCCTCTTCAAACCTTTTTTTTCTTGTATAGTCAGTGCATCAAATACTCACGTTTCTTGGTAGTACTATGTAATAACATAGACAGCAAAGCCGCTTGAGTAAGTCGAATTTGTAATGAATTAATTCTCAATTTTGATTCGATTTTTTCTGAAACTCAACTATTTTGCTCAGTTGAGTTGAGTTGAAAAAATGGGTGGAAAGAAAGACTTATTACTGGATGAGTTAATCCCATTACCCAGCAAAAAGAACGAATAATACCATACATAATAGCTAAAGACATACACAGCCACCAGAGAGACAATTACAGAAAATAGAGCGTGCTGCTTTCAGGTCTGCGTTGAAATAAGAGTAAAATTCAGAAGCACTTCATCGGCGTCTGGCTGGTACAAAGGGAATGAAAAGAAGTCCAGTGCATTCTTTATTAAGAAATCTTAAAATCCTTTAATCTGCGGGGCTTCTTTTGTGAGGAGAATAAAACCTTTTAAAAGTCGTCGTGTTCTTTCACTGAACAAGTCTGTGGATTAAAGGCTTCCACACTGTATGCATCCACAGTGGCATAGATATTTCTTCTTTGGTATGATTACTAACAAGCTGTTGTTGAAAAAGAATATCAGTCAGACAAGAGCCTTTAGCCTCAATTAATCCAGATTGGCACCTTGTCCAGCTAGATACATCTGTCCACAGAGGAAGTTGCTCATGCATGTTTTATTTGAATGCACAGTTCATCTTTTTATTGTATAATCATACAGATCAGCTTGTGTTTATTTTGTTTGCATGGGAAAGAAAACATGTTTGGTTATATTAAAGGTGCTAAATTCCAAATTCAGAGGGACTGACTACGTAACTCTCAACATGGCGGCTAGCAGCTAAAGGTGCAAACAGCACGAACAGTGCAAACAATGTTAACAGTGCTGATGGAGCTAACATTGCAGATAGAGCTAACATTGCAGATAGAGCTAACAGTGCTGATGGAGCTAACATTGCGGATACAGCTAACAGTGCGGATATAGCTAACAGTGCGGATAGAGTTAACAGTGCTGATAGAGTTAACAGTGCTGATAGAGTTAACAGTGCTGATAGAGTTAACAGTGCGGATATAGCTAACAGTGCGGATAGAGTTAACAGTGCTGATAGAGTTAACAGTGCTGATAGAGTTAACAGTGCTGATGGAGCTAACAGTGTTTACCTGAGGAGGAACCAGAGTTTGGGTGCGATGTTTTCCACGACGACACCGTGGTTGGTGATGAGCTACACACACAGCCGGACAGGCTATGTAAACAAACCACAGAGACTCTCGTATTACAGCACACACAGAGGGAGAATGACTTCATTCTCTGCTCAGGTAGACATTACTACACCGTGTCTTTACAGAGCAAATAGTTCTTTGCTGCTGTACCAGTGCTCTGTATTTGAAATTTAGCGCCTTAAAACTGCACTTGGTAGCTCATGATGTGACCACTACTGCTGCACTGGTGAAAGTCAGTCAGCCTTCTCTCTCCTATCGTTTTCTTTTTTTTTTCCTTTCAACTTCTGCACCATCGTCTGCATTTCCTGCTGTAGGCGGTTTGTGAGTCTTCAGATGGGGATTAACAACACACATTTCCGGACGGTGTGCTACCACCCAGAGGAATACCAGATCATCACCAGTGGGACTGACAGGAAGGTGCGTTTTGGGACCGTCAGTGGTGGAAGAAGTATCCAGACACTTTACTCAAGTAAAAGTACTAATATCACACTGGGAAAATGAGTATTATCTGCTAAGTTTACTTTTAAATAGTTTATTTAGTTTAAGAAGAGGGAGAATTTTCTCAACCTATAAAGTTGAGTTGAGTAGAAGTATAAAGTTGCATAAAGTGGAAATACTCAAAACTCAACAAATACCTCTAATTTCAAGTTCAGCACTTGAGTTAATGTTCAGGATGCATTTTAAGGCAATTCCAGTAGGCATTTAAACAATATATGTATTATTATTTACTTAATTTATATCCCAACCAGTACAGCACATCCCATTACTGATGTCCGGTCACGTATCTTTACGATAACACTTGTTTTGGGTGTTTTCTATTGCACTGGTATGTAAGAATTCCCTGGGACGCAACTCAGCATACACGCCTCACAGGAAGAAAAAAACGGAAAAAACGTAATGATTGAGAATCCCTCAGGGTGGAAAGAGACTGGCACTCACATAATGTAAATGTCTCATTGTGCTGTTATTGTTATTATAATCTCCACTCAGTGCGCATGAGAGAAAAAGGCTGTCTGCTCTGGTAAGATCAGCATAGAGAGGACGTGCACAGTCACACACGCGCTCGCATGTCCACCGATTAGTTTGAAAAGCTTGTAATTTGTTTCAAGGCTAAACATAATTAAGCCGTTGCGTTGGCTGCTAGTCGCAGAGACAGAGATGCTCGGCCCTTCGAGTCTGTTATTTTGCGAGTCATGCTGATTCACTCGTCATCGCTCATTTACACCAGGTCAGAAGTTCACGGTGGCAGGAAGGAACGCTTGTTTCCTTGATTGTGCACTTCATCCGCACCCCTTGAACCCTCGTCGACAAGTTGTGCTGATTAACGCAGCGCTGGGGATGTGCTGAGTGAGCAGAGAGAGAGAGAGAGAGAGAGAGAGAGATTCAGGGGAAAGGGGAGGGAGAAGGGAGACACTGAGGGAGGGGAGCGCTGTGGCGTCCGTGGCTTCCTGCGGATGTGCCCAAGTGCCAGCCAGATCCACCATCTGCTCATCCCAAGACACAGGCGCTCTGTCTGTTCTCTCTCTCTCTCTCTCTCTCTCTCTCTCTCTCTCTCTCTCTCTCT